GTTCCTCCATACTAAGATCACCATCATCCCATCCCACACAGAAAACTAGGTTCAAAGTGTCCTCTCACATTGTTAAGTATCTGCATAGAACAACATAACAGGTACAATGCCCACATAATTTTCACATCAACTCACATAGTGTATTTTCTCCATACAGGTGTTTCACAGCATTACCTATACAATATGAAGTTCCAGTAGAACATGCAAGTGAATGTGTTTATTTATAGCATTTTTATCCCACACCTCAACCAAAAAGGCTCTCAGACTGGTTTACATACACTTGATTTTTTAAGGAAGGCAGGTAGGCAGGCAGGCCCTACTCACAGGTTTGCAGTCTAAAACAGGGGTAGGCAACCTAAGGCCTGGGGGGAGGATGCAGCCCCCCGAGACCTTTGGACAGGCCCCAGGCCGGTCCTGCTGCCACCGCTGCCACTGTCCTCCGCTGCTCCCCACCACCGCCACCCGCCATGATGATATTGATTATTGTTGTTATTACGTGTTCTTGGGGTTTTCTTGGCAAAATCTCCATAGGGGTTTTGCCATGGCTTTTCTGGGGCTGAGAGAGTGTGCATGCATATATTTTTTTTATTTTTTTTTAAATGTATTTTTATTTTTATTTATTTTTGGTGCTTCAGCCCCCAATTGTCTGAGGGACAGCAACCCGGCCCCCGGCTCAAAAAGGTTGCCTACCCCTGGTCTAAAAAGACATGGCACAAAAGGGGGGGGGAAAGGAGGTGAGGAGGAAAGGAGTGGGGAGCAGTTTTTCAGTAGAACTGGTGTACTGGTTCTGCTTTCTATCCAATATCCTCCTGTTGCAGCCTTCTCTGAATAAGGCCTTCTTTAGTCCATCTTTTCTAAAAAGAAATTTTAAAAACCCACAAAGCCATATGGGGGAAAAAACATTGGATTTCTAGTGGACACAATATGAAGTCAATCAACTTCTGTTCCTGGAAATATGTCCCAATATTAGTGTCCATCATCTTAGTTTGTGAGATTTTGATTCATGAAGTTTCAGTAGATATTAGGAGCAGCTAGTTTCCTGAAACTATTGAATGAAATCAACAAAGGTCATTCACAACCTTCATAATCCTTGTCAAATGTGTAACTAGGTAAAATGTGTTGTTCTGTACATATTACATTGGTCAAAACCATTCTAGATATGATGTCACAATTGCATAGGAAACATCCTGCAGGAGGAAAAGGTTATGTGGGTAAGGGAACCATACAGCAAGTTTCTCTCACTATAGCTCACTTTCATTATAGAGCTGTACTTCGAGAAATTTTATTTTTATTTATTTTATTTTTATTTTATTTTTATTTATTTTTTATTTGTATACCGCCCTATGGCGAACCAATCCGGGCGGTGA